TACGCCATTATGCTATATATTCTCTTATAATCCGAGAGATGTCTCATGGAGATTGAATGGTTTTTCAAGTTGCGAAAAAATCAGGTAGGCCTGTCTCTCTCTCTCTCTCTCTCTCTCTCTCTCTCTATGTCTCTCTCTTCCTCCCTCTTCATATCTTTCCCGAATAATCGTGCAATGACGTGGTCGTGAATTTTAAATGTCTGGCAACACGTATCCTCGAGACAGAATCTATTTTGACATGACGATAACACTCTGATTACTCGACAGGTGTAAATGGAAAAAGACAGTCCGGCAAAATTAAACTTGTCGCCGAGGTCGTTCTCAGTAATAAAACAGCACATCGCTGAGAAAAAAATTCACACGACAAAAGATATATATGTATCTGGCATCGGCATGGCACAAGAATTACTAGAAAATAATAAGTTGAAATTTTGATACGTAGAGAATCGTCATGCTCCATAATGCAACAATGCGCACGGCGGTACCAAAGATAATCAAATAGTGACCTTTGATTTGATTAATACAGAAGAACGCGTCTCGTACGAATAGATAGATTAATAGATAAATAGAAGGGTAATTTATAACGTCGTTGCGCGCATCGGCGATGGATAAATAACGCATCGCAAAAACATACGCGAAGAACGTTTACGGCTCGGAAGATATACGACGTAAAAGATTGTTATATAAAATTATTCAACGATACAAAAATAACAGCAGTACGGAAAACTTTGTACAGAGAGCGTAAAACTTTAGAGGATGATTTTGCGTGCGGAAATAAAAACGGCTGACGTTAATGTCGATTCTTGCGATGTGCCGTCGTGTTAAATACACTATTACTGTATCCTGTTATACCTAATAAAAGAGAACCGTCTTTTCGAAGTCGTGAAGAGTCGTGTCTTCAGAACGATTAGTGTCAGAAAAATAGATGAAGAAATGTGTATGAGTAGAATGAATATTATACGATCCGACGTGAGAGAAGAATTAAAAATTCATATATAAAAAGTCAGAGCAGGAATTAACATAGCTTTAAGGACGATTGAATGACGAATATCCTTGGATATTACGTTCGACAAGGTGTCAAGATGATTAAATGATCGAATTCTTCGACAATATCAGCCCGATAGACGTGATTAATGATTTACATGTGCACTCTGCGCGCTTTTTGATATTATACGTTTTAAACCGATCGTTCGTATAGCTGCTAGAAATTTCTTGATATGTGTATGTCTGTGTATGTGTGTGATACGATGACTTTTATTACCTTGACAAATTCTCATCAACTAAATATGCGACGTACATATTATTTCATCTGTAACACGAACGATTATTCTTTTTTTTAATTAATTATGAGGAAGAACATTTCGTTATTTTCCTGAATTTGCTAATATCTTAACATAATTAATAATTTTATTTAAGAGAGACTATGTATTTGGAATAATTAAAAAATTTTAAATATTAAGTATTTAGAGAGATATAAGATAAAGAAACCCAAATTAATGTAGTATTAGAAGTTATCATTTTGATTGCAAAATTCGAAAATTTTTGTAGATTTTGATATTGTCCTAGAACAAATTAAGTTTTCACTGTTTTTCACGGTTTTTTGTAATGAACCGCGAATCTCAAATTCTATCGAGATATGCATGCATTTATATTATATAAAAGACTCGCGGACATGTAATAAAATCGTGGCAATTTTGATTGAGCTTGGAGATTATTATAGCTACGTGTGATACATATTGTTCTCATCATATCTTTTCTCGGCGCCCATCCCTCGAAATACCTGAATCAGACCCGACAGGAAGTGCTTGCGGGACGGACATTGAGTGGCCTCTCTCGTCCCGCCTAAGTCAACAAGCAGTAGTCTTATCCACTCGGCATTTTACAGTCGCGAGGTTACGAGCGTGAACGCGAGTACGCAGGTGCATGCAGGTGAACACCTCGTTGTCGAAGATGCGTGCACTATGCTGTACCACGCACAATTCGCGCGTCACTTGCGAATCCCCTCGCGTGGCTACCGTTGAGAAAACCTTGCAGAGGGATCGAAATGCGGAAACACGCTATATTCGTGTAGTGATTACTAGTTCTATCTTCGCTAGACGTAGCTTCACTCATGGCGTGCCGCGAAAAGAGAATCCCGCGCTAACGATAATTCGCGTTCCGCCTCGCGTCAGACGTTATTAAATGCGTAATGATAATAATTGTAATCACCGAGAGAATCATTGCGTTATTTAATATCGTGTATAACAGGGTTCCGGTGCCATAATAGCGCGGCGAATTAAAGGGTCGGCTAAATGCCCGAAATCGAGACGAGAATAAAAGTGCTCATTAAATTAAAAGCAGCCACCCGCATTGTGTAATTTATTATCGGGCCGAAGTACAAGCGGTTGATTATACCGAGTTTGGAAATGGTGCATTTCACGAGAAGATTGTTATACGCGTTCAAAAATACAACGGCAATTTGCAATAACCCTGGTCGACAAAATTTCATTTTTTTTTTAATTAATAAAAAAATGATAAAGTGTTTAAAAAAATTATTTTTTTATGCTGATTTCAATTCGTTTGCGAAATTTATGAGGGCAGGATTTTTTTCAGAATTAGTATTAAAAAATACAAAAGAATTAACTAAAATTGTTTATTTAAATCATCGTCGATCAGTGTAATTGGAATTGTACATCTTCGGCAACGAAGAAATATTTTAAAATAGTTAATTAGAGATCACGCAGCCTTTTCAAGGATCGTGTCAAGTGATTCATAAATTCGTTACTAATTATCTCGCGACGGAAAATATGAATAGTCTGTCTTTTCGCTGGATATATGCAAAAACATGCTCGCAATATGTACGAAGTGCTATTTAAGTGTTCTGGCACAGGGAAGGCCATTTTGTTCGCGAGAATATTGACAGAGATCTCGTGTCGGGGAGGCTTGCGAGCTGCAAACATGATTTTGCGAACTTGCACAATTTATGTTGCCAGACATATATTACGTTCTAGTCTAACTTAAAGAAGTATCTTTTGCAAATACTCGCGAAGCTACGGAGGCCATGCATAAATTAAACAAGAATAATACCACAGTGAATATTGCTGTCTAGTATAGTTTTCTGAAATTCAAAGCATTCGTGATGTATAATACGAAGTACCTTTGAAAAATCAATACATAACAATTTTGAAGCCATATTTAGAGAAGATCGAAATATATTTGTATGCATACGCGTTTGATGATCGTAAGACTGCTAATAATAGCACATCGATGAAGAATGCGTTAGTGTACTCGCGAAGGAGGTCGCGTTCTAAAACAGACGAAAACTTTCCTTTAAGACAAATCTCTACAGACGGGTCGTGTCGCGAAAACGTGAATTCCGGCCATGATCTCTCCTCGAGGTTTGCAGCGGCACCTCTCGAGGATTCTCGCAGCGGCACGGATATTCATAAATTATCGAGATCCGCGCGGGAATATTACGCGCCGACGAGAAACCATCTCGATTTCGAAGAGTATAACGTAATTAGCAATAAAACTTCCGCGTACGCATTTCCTGGTACATCGCTCGCGCGCTTGTTTCGCCTGCCGTCTCCTGCGGAGTCTTCTTTTTTTTCAGCGCGCGCGCGCGGAACGGAGCTCCGGCTGACCCGGTCAAACGACCTTAGGAGGAGAAACCTTACGATCGATATACTCGCGTGTTTATTGCTGAACTTTTAAGAAAATTTATTGTCAGGCGTTTTCGACGTCCTCGACTCTGGACGGAGGAATCGCATCATTCTTCCCGAGGCGTCGCGTCGCGTCGACGTGAAACTATCGGGAAAACTTGTTTTGCGTAGTATATCAAGACGGACAAATTTATTGCTAGATAAATAACGTCGCGGATACGATGATACGCGTCTACGCGCGCGCGTGTATAAATATTATAACGCGCGCGGCGTGGAATGTGAAAGACGCGCGAGACGAAAGTAATCGAATACCATCTCGCGTTAAGAACGTGACGGAGGATCGGGGGGGATCGATGAGCGTGAAGGGATATTTAATGTACGGCGATCACAAGGTATTACACACATTCAAGTATACAATATTCTTTATTTCATTTCGTACTCTTCTCTCGACTTGGACACTCGAATAGCGCCCAATACATGCCTCGCGCGTATAGTCTGATCGTGGCTACCGCATCTATCCCGTATATATTCCTCTCTCTCTCTTCTTTTTTTGTACTTGAACGCAATTGCGGATCCCACTATCGGGCACGATCAGAACTTTTCGGAACGGTTCCTCGCGCTTGGATTCGATATGATCCCTGTTCGTCCGATAAGACTCGAAAAATATACATAAGTTACGTACTAATCGTAAGAGCACTTGGAATTCGCAGAATCACAATTTATCCGGCGCGCCCGGATCACGCTACGTCGTTCGATCTCTCGCATCGCCGTCGATATTAAACAAGTCGACGCGAGTGCACGGATCGAGCACAGCTGATCCGAGCCTCCGAAACACTGCCGAACGATTTGTCGGCGCAACAGTACGCGCAAAGCACTCACACTGGCCATCCCGCCGTGCGTTGTCGCCACGCTACGGCAAACGGTTACATATATCGTTTAAATGTTAAGCTATCACCGGCGCGATGTCTCTTTACCGCCGTATTTTTTAAGGCACCGCTTCAAGCTGGTACTACGATATGCGCGATTCGTGATTCGTAGTCTCGTTCGCGTTCGCATAGCTCCTATATACATGAACGATCACGAATGAATTGATCCGATAGGGTAACACGCCCTCTTGACTTCGTCGATACACCGCTCCACGCGCTGGCAAATCAGCGTGAATGATGAATTAGCGACGAATGACAAACGCGACGAATCTATCCGTCCACAGTATGCACACGAGACTCTCAATAAGGAATAGCCGGAATCGCGAGTCGCGCATAGTCTGATGCCGCAGCTTCGTAAGGCACGGTATACGTCCGTCGTACGTTTCTCCGACGAAAGAGAATGTATCGCGCGAGCCGATATATTCTCGGTCGGTTCGTCAATGTGCACCTGCCGTCGGGGTACGACCGGGCAAAAGAGACTTGTGTGTCGGCTAATACCGAGCGGCTTGAGCAATTTTCATCGATCGGACGATCGCCGATCGTAAAGCCGTTTATGCCGGCTGGCTACGCGCGGCACTTCTTCTTCTGCTTCTTCTTCTTTTTCTTCTTCTTCGGCCGACCGCGCTCTCTCTCTCTCTCCCTCCGCATCTTCCTCCCGCTCTTTTCCCTCTCGTGTCGTTCCAACGTAATCGTATTCGGCTACTCCTCTTTCCCCCTGGGTCGCCTCCTCGTTTCTTGCGCCAAGGCACCTTTGACACTCGGCCGTGCTTCTCGCTCGCCGCGTTATTACGATGTAACTGTACCTTCTTTCACCCTCTCTCCGCATCTCGTATGATTCGCGCGTTCTTCTCCATTCTCTTCTCTTCACCTTTCTCTTTGCCTCCTTCTTCTTTTTCCCGTCATGTTCCCATCCATTTGTTTTTTCCTTCGATCATTTGTTTTTCCATTCGATTTTTTCTTTCCTCTTGCTACCGGGGGAGAGGCTTCGATAGTTTGCTGCTTTTTCAATAAATTACTCGGCGACCTTGCCCCTATTATCCACGTCAAGTTGGGGTGACACCGACGATGATGACGACGACGACGACGACGATCCTTTCTCGATCAGATTGAGTTCTCGTTGAGCACTTAATGAGCACCGTTTGGAATCCGAGGTCATGTTTTTCGGGTGAGATCCAAGGGCGGCCCGGGATCCTGCAGAAGTTCGTTTTCCTCGCTATTGCTCGACTTCTCCTCTTCTTCCTCCATGCTACCGGCATCCACCTCCTGTCGATCCGTCCGTGTGTCCTTCATACTGAGATCCATTGGCTCATCTTGCTCCGGCCCGAGAGATCGCAAGAACGTCAGATTCTTATCGTATGCGACCTCTATCGAACCTGCTGTAGGACATCGATCTCGTTCGGCGGTTTCGCGATCGATCTCGCGGCATTCTCGGTTCTCTTCGCTTCTCTTCGTCGGCGATGGAGTCGACCGCGGACTGATGCTCTCACTAGACGAGCTCGACAAACTGGTCGCCATCTGCGGTGGACCTACTTGATTCACATAAGGTACGATGAAGCGTTGTTGAAACGGAAAGAACGGCGTGTTCAGCAACTGCATGTGCGTGAGCGCTGGATGAAACAGTGGCGGGCCCCGCCACATAGGGAACCTCGAAACTTCGGGCCTGAACATCTCGTGCGGTGCCCTCGGGAGATCGGTAGGCCTCAGAATCGCTTCCTGGCTGGTTCTCGGCGGAATGTCGGGTGACCTTAGTTGCACCGGAATATCCGGTGGCCTGAGCGCACCGTCCTCCCTCTTGGGCAATCGGTCCGGATGGTGATGGTGGTGCAGGTGATGATGATGGTAACTGTTCGCTGTAGTGGTCGCCGTAGTGACGATACCGACGATGCTGCTGGCGCTAGTGTTACTGGCGTTCTCGGTATTGTTATTATTATTATTGTTGTTCGCGGCGTCTAACGAGCCGAACGCTTTCTCGTACGCGGACTTGGGATCTTTGATCAGGCGATTTTGCGCTTGCTGAGACTGTTCTTGCAGCAAGCAATGTATCTTGAACCAATTGGAGCGCCGGCCATAGCGCGAGCCAGACTTGGACATGCCCACCATCAGGCACTTCCGCAAGCGACATGCCTTGCAGGCGGTACGGTTCTTCTTGTTGATCACGCAGACGCCGCCATTCTTGCATTCGGAAATACTACCCAGATTGTTGTAGGTGCGCCCGAAGAAGGACTGTACAACAGAAAGCGAAATAGGCGCGCATTGGTCAGTCGCAATCGATTAACGATTTGCGCTTTCGCTTTACTAGCGACCAGGCATACGGAGGAACGCGCATTGAAACAAATGTTTGACTATCTATTAGTAAAGCCAGATTCTTAACAGAGAATCGCTGAGTCTGATCTGCCATCAAAATAACCACCAGGTTTGGTCTTTGAAATATAAGAAAAGACATTTCTTCCAATATACTCTCTAAAACTTTTCGAATATAAAGAGTCAAATTTTATTCTTAAAGATTAAAAACTGAGCCACTGTTTTTCAAAACTGGCTCAATTTTCACTCTTCGAAATTTTACTTTAAATTAAATTAGAAAGTACATATAGTGAAATCTCATTGAAATTAGAAAAAAAAATCAGAAGCGTTGAGAATACCCTTGATAACGTTTCTGAACTGTTATCAGATCCTGGAAACGTTCACCTTGCTGATAACTCATCACATCTGAATTATTCGAAAAGGAATGTTATATTTTAAAGTTGACATGCTGCATCTTAAAAATTCGACCTGATGGAACTTTTCTGGCCATAGATTTGTGAACTCAAATACGTGAAATATTCTTCCAAAAATACATTAAAAAAATAATTTTCTGTTCTTACTAAAAATGATTCAAAATTTGAAAATGAGTATTATGGGCGATTGATTTTTATCAGGATATCTTTGTACTGCCGCCAATGCGAGAACCCGACTTACGTATAAAAAAAGTGATATATCCGAGACACTATTGCGCTTTGTTCCTATGCGATTCTATGCGATTTACGTAATTTCCGGTGTAAATGTCGCGAGAAACGTAACGATCGCGAGTCATCCCTCTTTTTCTATCTTTTTTCTTCATTCCTTTTTTGTTTTGTTACTAAAGAATAACGATACGGATGAATAGCCGTAGAAGAATGGCGACGCGAAGATACTGACCTTGCAGCCTTCGCACGTGAAGGCCCCAAAGTGAAAACCCGCGGCTGGCTCTCCACAAACCCTGCAGAGCTGATTCATCTGCAACAAAAAGATGCGACATGTGGTTACGCTCGGGATCTGAGAACGTTCAGAATGTGCCCGACGATCGCGCGCCTGATCCCCGCACAATATCTGCCAATCACGGAAGGGTTTCTCGATCTAATGCATGCTCTCGAAACGCAAGATCGGAACAACGAAGAGTACTGTAATAGGATATAGGATCGGAGCCTCCTCTTTCGGTATACAAAACACTATTATGACATCACGATCGAAAAGAAGCAAGACGATTTAAAAGTATGTTAAATATGCATATCTTCTTTATGACTCGACTTGTAATATCGAACAATATAAAAAGTTACTAAAATATATTCTTTCCGATATATTTCCAATGTGTATGTGTATTTTCTCTTAATATATTGTATAAATAAAAATAAGTAACTCTCGAAAGTAATATTTTTAACAATTTATTTCTACGTGTAAAATATTAATTAATTATTAATATCTTCTTCAATACACTCATTAGAATTACAAAATTGAATGAAGATCTTATAAATAAGCTTTATGTGTTTTCATACGTTATATGATATTATAAATGTAATATTGTAGCGTGTAAAACGCTTGTATAGGGTCGCATACGTAAAAAATTGTCTATCCAATTTATACATTTATAAAAGTAATTGCAGAAACCTATATATGTAATAATATCTTTAAAATAAATTATATATTAAAAATAAAAAATAATTCACTTATCACACAAAAAGAAATTTATTTCTGTAGCTTCTGTCGCAATATCGATTGCAATCTAACAATAAGATCACGAAGGAAATCTCATCCTTGGACTCGATTTCGCGTCAATATCCTCGACTACAATCTGTTGTCGAATAATGCGATCGCGGCCGATCCGCGCATTGTAGTCGGTAATCAACGCGAGTGCGCATCTGTTCCGCTATGGAAGAGGATCCTCGACGGTGATGTCGCGCGGGAAAGAAGAAGAACTCTTTCTTGCCTCTCGTGTACGCACGAGGATCGGCAAGGAGCGCGCGAGCGAGGGGTCTATTTTCTCGCTGCGAGAAATCGTCTTCCTATTAAAACCTAGTTAGCCAGTCATTACTAGCGCCTCATGGGAGCTTGGACGTGCGGCTCGTTGCGAGAAAGGCATAGGGAGAAGCGAACACACGGATTGTGCGCGGGTAAAAGAGCGGAGAATGCGATTCTCGCACAAATCCGATTCCCACACGAAAAGAGTACGCTACAGTAACGGCCGCCGTTCTGTCGTAACGCGACGAGAAATTGATCGCTCGCGTTACTAGTGGTAATTGTCAGGGATGATCAAAACGCGCTCCTGTGAGATTCGCGCTCGCTGGAACTCTTCCCCGTCCGTCGTCGCGGGCGTCACACGGCCAGATGGGACGACGCGCTCGCTGTCATTTATGACTTTCGCAAGTAAATTTTATGATTCATTAATATTTTGGTTCGTTGCGCGACTTGCACAGATAGTGAATATTTACACATAACGGTTTGCTTTTGGACTCTCTTTCGCGCGCGCGCGAGCGTATATTTGTGCAACACGAGATAACAGCGAGGTGATATTCGTTAGATCAATTGGATTATAACGTACGTTTGTTACCGACTCTCACACAGAATCGATTTAATTACAAAGCAATTGCGAAAACTTCTGATGCACGGAAAAAACGGTTTCGTTTAAAGTCTCTAAACATTTAGCTAAATACAGATCTGAAAATAAATGTTATTGAACTATTAAAATAATTATATAGAAGTTAATTGCTAGAGTATTAAAGTTGATAGGTAGAATATTGAAACTTTTTACAGTATTGTTTATCATGCTTGAGTTTTCTACAAAGATATTTTAATGGCCTGATTTCAGTTAAATTTTTAGATATTTCAGAAAAATCGCTCTTTCTATGTGAGGTTTCTACGCGGTCTAAATCGTGAGAAAAGGAAAGAGAAATTTCGACATAATAATGCTAACGTACGCATTAACTGTAATATCTAATACGTCAATAAACACGCATGCTACGTGATATCTCGCGAAAATGGCAAACCTTCTTGTCCTTTTGCATGCGTTTCGCATAGAAATTCTTAATTACTCTAATAAGAATGTCCAAAGAATGATTTTGCTGAAGTATAATATCTAAAAAATTAATTAATAGATCTGAAGATAATTTTATTAGACCATTGAAATAATTACATAAGAATCTTAATAATGATGGGCAGTGCTACAAAAAGATTTTGACACTCTAACAAACAATTTGAACGTTCTATATAATTTTGATGATCCAAGATGTTTCAGATTTGTATCTATAACTCTAGATTTTTTTTTTTTTTTCAGTAAAACCTCTTTCCATACAGATATAAGATAGTCAGTTTTGATTGATCTGCGATGTTTTATCAACTTCTGAAAGAGAGAAACAGATAAGATTATTAGAGGATTTCTAATGCAGGGTAGAGATTAACCCTACGGCTTCTGCAAATATTCCCCAAATGATAGGATTAAATGGAGTTTCTGCCGATGGTCGGAAAAATGCTACAGCACAGGTTAGCGGAGATACGTATTCGAAAACGACTTTCGATCTCATTAACCTGGGAACGTATGCGCGGTACGGACTGATGACTTCTCGCGGAAATGACGGCGAGAAGTAACGACGTGCAGGCCGAGGTAGGAGGCAAAAAAGGTTAAACGTCCACCAGATGACGCGGCTATGTCACCTCGGTTCTAATCCCCGCGACCACAAACCACCACACATTGACGGGACTAAATAACGCGCTGTTCTCCCCCTCTGGTCTGTGCCGCTTTTTCTCGCATTTTACGAATAATCTACATTGTCACAAAACGGTCTGCATCCGACCGAATCCTATTCGTCGCCCACCCACGTCCCACACGAGAATCATCTCATTAAGTGCCGTCACGAGCAACGCTGAATGAAGAGGCGAGCGTGCCAATATAATGTTGATGGTCTTTTTATGTCGCGAGCGACACGGTTCTCTTCTCTTTCGAGGTTCCCATCGTTCCCTCGATTCCGTTATTCTGAGCCTCGGTTAACGATTTAGAATAATTCAGCCCGTGTAAATACTAATCAACCGCCGAGCGAGCGACGATGACAAGCGTAAACTCGCACGATTCCTACGCGTTTCCAATCTTAGTTCGCAAAAGACACTAATTTAATTGAATCGCCTACTAATAGACAGAAATACCATATTTGAATAATAAGAAAGACCGTAATTTACAATAAATGCCACATGACTTGCGAATCTCTCTGGTCCGACGATCAATCTTGTAGTATTAATGCAAATATTTACAAATATCAATTACAAATGTCCAAGTTCTTTTGTCACTCTTCTATTATAACTGAATAATTTAGTCAAATTAATAAATAAAAAATACTATTAAACAAGTGCTCGTATTAATGTTATAATCCTCCAGAGCTGACACTATTTATATAATACAATTACTGATGCTGAGTCTGTAAAGTTCATTTAATTTATATTAAAGATTAGACTAATTAAGACTGATTAAGATTGATTAATTTTAAGGAACCAAAATTATATAATTCGTATAAAAAGAGAATGAATACTAATTGTAAAGTATGATTTAATAAAAATAATCCAGATGTAATATAAAAAAATTAAATTGTTTTATATCTTTGACGTTTTATAATTGAATGAGCCAATAGGTCAATTTTGGAGAGTTAAGTAACCGTATGAAAAAAATGTACAGACATAGTCAACTATTCTTCCTTGAAAAAAATATTACGCTGATCTATTATACGAACACAACATATACCATATATAAATTTATGATAAAATACATTTCCGTTTTACTTTTTTTTTCGTTGTAAAAGACGAACTTCTACGCGAGCTGGAGGTGAAAGAAAAAAAAAAAGAAGACTCACCACGTCGGTGTTGGCCGCTGCCGATGTGATCGTCGACGTAGGCGTCCACCACCCTGGAGCGGATGTCGCGTTGGCAATAATACCAACACCCGTCGCAACCGAGATGGATCCGCTCCCTACCAATCCTGCCGGACCTGACAGATCGCCCACATCCATTCGACACGTTTTAATCCCTCGATGTCAACCGTCTTGGCCCGTGACCCGACCTGCCCTCTTTCCGTTTGATGTAACGAGCCACCATTTTGCGCGCTTCTCGCCGTGCTGAAACGTTCATGCGACGTGTGACATCCGGTCTGACAAAGAAGAAAAAAACGAACAAATAATTATCTGGAGAATAATCTGTCGATACCGTTCAATATCGCTTGTTAACGATGACATTAATAACCAGTCCGGCCGCACACGCACAAGTTTCGATCAAGTCTCGAATATTTTTTCTATACTTTGCTGTCACATACCATGCATGTTTAAGATCATAATATCTTATTTAGATTCCGCGATTTATTCGCTATATAGTACAAATATACTATACGAGATAAGATATTTGCGTCCGGCAAGAATGTCGCCTCCCAACAACAAAATACTCGAATGTACGCTAACGAATATCTCCCACTATCAAAGCGGTATTTTTATGGCGAACAAGCGCACGAGGCGGTGTATATCAGCGAGATGTATAATAATTATTCCAGAATACGAGCAGCGAGTCGCAGAAACGAGAGAGGGCAGTCCGCCGAAATCGTGATCGGCGAACGTCCTTCCTGAGACCTCCGGGTTCGTATCGCTCGAGATAACATATCGTGTTTACAACGGTGTAACGCCATTACCAATGTTAACGTAGACCGCCCCGCGAGGGACGCATAAATACAAGAGCTAATTACAGAGGCTGCTACGTATTAATTTTCGACCTGCACACCACGCAGAAACTTAAGCGGGGTGTATGAATCGTGTTTCTAATTAACGATGTTTAATTTTAATTCGTCGATAAAGATTTCGCGTCGTACAACTTTTGGGATGGCATGATAAATGTCGTAAATACATCGTGGAAACTATAATAATATATTCGTCTATTACATACAGAATAATTCGGAAAGTAAATGCGCTCAGTTCCTGGAGGAACGAACGCAACGCACTCGAGGGAATAACAATCGGCAGCCTGGAGTATTAATCCAGTTCCAAGACGTGATTTGAAAGTAAATGTTAATTGAGGATACCGAGATTTCCTTGGTAAATCACAAAGCCACGATTAAGAACACGGTAATTGGCGTCGTTGCGTTGAGTCAATCTATATGATCACTAAGTAATATTGGCATATACTTGCAACACGATCGTGTTATAATATGTGGGAATCTATAGCAGTAAAGATTATACACCAGATTTTCTAGTATTCATGGATTATAATTGAAGCACGTTATTATAAATTGCGTTAAGTGCTATGAATTTATAGTGCTACGACTTTAAAGTTTGAACTGTAACGTTATAAATTGCACAATCGCGATGGCAGATAATTGGTATATTTAATCCAGAACACTAACGGACATTAACGAATCAGCATCCACAACTGAAGCTTTATTCAATAGAACCCTTTAACTGTCTATTCGTAATAATTCGAAACTATTTAAAGTATAAATCTTACAATTAGTATAGATTGACAATACGGATCGTTTTTATTTTTACTTTTAATAATAAGTATCTAAAAAATTTAGTTTATAGATACAGATCTGAAAATAATGTTGGGCCCCATCAAAATAATTATATGAGACGTTTAAACTGGTTCCTAGAATGTCTAAACTTTTCAATATGCTTATCACGCTTAAAATTCCTACCTAATTATTTTAGCTCCACAAAATTATTTTCAGATTTGTGTCTACCTCAATTTTTATATACGTTTTTCTTGATATTTCAGCAAAATCATTCTTTGCGTGTATGTAGTTATTGTGATGACTCTGAGACATTTGGAAATATATCTACAAGAGTAGTTTATATTTTGAGAACTTGTTCTCAAAATCAAGAATATTCGGTAACGAGGCATTATTGTTAACATATTTTATCAGAGAAAGATAGAAAGTGAGAGAGAAAAGTACAGTACATAACATTACACTCACATGATCTGAGAATAATACCATAAAAATGTATACTTTAATTAGACATGCGAGTGTGTCGTTGGTGGGTCTCCGGGGAGTCCCCCAGGTATTTTATTATTATACTTTAATTAAAGAAATCGTCGACCGAACGAGCGCCTTCGTGAGCAATCTGGCGAGCGCGTTGCTCCCGCACGTATATTATTAAAATTGCCGTAATCGGTCGCCTCCACAACAAAGAGTACCGCGGCCGCACGGCGCTGCGGCCATCGATAAATTTTATTGCGCGCCTCTCATCTTTCCACGTTGACTAATGACAAATTAATTAACAACCGTACATGCCCGCGGAAGACCGGTTCCATTGAATACATCGTCACCTTGCTGCGCTCCGGCTCCGATAAATCCTTGTTTTCACGGATTAACGTTGCGCGCGCGGCGAGCCGGAGGTAGCGCAATTGTAACGCGGCGATAAACACGATCGTTCGCGAGAGTTACGACGACGATGACAGCGATGACGGTGGCGATCGGCCATCGGTGCCATCAGGGTTTTTCCTATTTGCGTTTTTGAGCCGCGTCCACGAGCGTGTATTTCATTAGCCGGCGCCGAAGGACGCGGTTCTCACGTTTCGCGTCTAGGACTATTACCGGCGTGCCGTCATCGCCGATATGTTTCAGCTGTCATCGTACGATTCCATCGTCTCCGGTATTTACGCGTATCGCGACACCATCCGCGGTCCTTGAAGAATCGAGGGAAGGAGAATCGTTTCACTTCGTGTGCGATATGAACATGAGAGCACGGGCGTCTACCACTCGTTCGCTAATAAATGAATTACGTGAACGATCGACGCGGATAGTTTCGTTAATTGCGAGCCGCGCGGACCGATTGTGAGTTTAATCTGTGAAATAATTAGGGTATTAAAACGTAATTAGCGATACGCCTGCGAGAAAGAACGATGTCGCGCGCAAGGAAATGTTAAATTGTCGTATAATATCGTTGACCATGATTTTCTCACCGCAACAGCCACGATCGATCTCGACGAGGTTTGACATTTTGATGTACGGAACAATGTTCTACCTCGCGCTGCATTAAAGGCGCGTTCTATCGCGGGTTAAAGTACGCCTGATTGAAACCGAGACTGTTATATATACTTAGTTCTCGTACTTAAGACCATCTTCTTAAGTACAATTTTAAGATGTTTTGATTATGAACTAATCAGAGAGCTATATTTAGCATCTTAAGACACTACTTGAGACGGCATTAAAATAAAAGTAGACTATAAATACCGCCTCGAGAGTCGAATTAATTATTTTACCGACATCTAATACGATTTACAAGAGCGTTCAAATATTTTACACACTCCCAAATATCCCACTACGGATTGCCTGCAGCATCCAATATATTATTCCGTGAAAGCGTTCGTGCGGCGAGCCTATTGGAACATATATGAAGGCAAGCAAATTTATTTCACGATAACGCAAATTTCTGCAAATTTATTTCACGATAACGCAATTCCCTAAGATTTCGTCGTTTCTCCCATTGGCCTCTCTCGCCTTATGAAAGCCACCGCTACTCCTATCTCACTATTAATAATTCGATTGCCCGGTAATATTTTTTCGCCACCTGACAGAGGTACACGATGATCGCAATCGGATTGCCTCTCATCTTCGCAATAATAATGATTGAAAGTTGAAACACATTCGCGCGTTAAAGGTATCACATAGACGTGCCGTTTCTCATCTCGTTTCTTTTCCCCCTTTTTTTTTTACTGTTTCTCCTTTTCGCCGGGCGAACGCCTCTCGATCGCCGCCAAGTTGTGGCAGCCAATGAGTGACGAGCGGACTGCATGCAGCTTTAATGAACCGGTTGTGAGCGGTACGTCACACGGATATTACTAGCTGCAAACAGTTGAAATTGTTGCACTCCCTTCTTTTTCTCTAAGTCGTAACCTTGGTCGTGACAAATTAATCATAACCATTATGAAGCCTGAATCGATCTTTCGTGTAATAGCATAGATTATTGGCTTGCCGAACTCGCGGTGTGATACAAATATTATTAAATAATCGCGAGCAGAAAAATCGATAGATTATCATACGCGAACTTATAGCTAAGTACATACATTATCATATCATGAATATGTGTATAAATCTTTAAACCTTTGATTAGGAATCTTCTATGCAAATTATCACTTTAAAAGCTTCGAGACGTGATTGCCGAAAGCAATATATATATTTTACCGAATATATGGGCCTTTACACTCATTTATGTTGAATTTATTTTTAATTTAGTTCTTTTTAATTTCTAAAATTTGACCATTATTTACACAGATAGAATTCCATTTCAGCATTAAGGGATTAATCAAGCCTTGAAGTGACAATCGTAAATGTAATAATAGGAAATCGCATTCGTACCAAAGAAATTGTTACGATATTTATTGAGATAATAAAATCAATGATCGCGCTGTCACCATATCTGGCATTGTGTCAAAATTTTCCACGAGATCGATTGTTAATTGTTGATCAGTAAATATGAGAAAAATGGGAAATATAGTGACATACTAAAAAATTATATTTTACACTCATAGAAGAGTATAGTAATGGCAATAAAGATGACAACTAAGTTTAAGTAAAATTAGTGTACATAGTTAAATAAACTATTTAATAGGTACAATAATTATAAAATTATTCAACTATGTATACATTAATTCTACATATAATACTTGTATAGCTATTATTTTTATTTGCTACTACTGTGTCTTTTTCTCTGAGTATAAATATCCAAGTAAAAAAAATGTTTAACCTCGCACTGAAATCTTCTTGTGCGTTTATGTCAAATGTCAATAAAAACGTGATTGTGTCGAGTATTCAAATGAAATAATCTAAATAATATATTCACTATAAGTGAAAAGTCATCGAACACATATCTAATTTTAACATTTAAAACATGCAAAGAGACCGTACCGTTTAAGAATGTTGAAGAA